CTGATTATTGTCAATGCTTGATTATTCGCACACTATAAATCTAACACACCCATTATCAGTGTTATTTGTTGTAGCTGTTTTGCTTACATCATACCAATGTTTTTACCCTTCTATGATTTTTAATTGTAACAGTAGCAAACCCACAAGAGTGGTCAGGTGTTAATTTACACTTTAACATTCCTTACAGGACTAAGTGGCATACTTAATGTGGTGTACTGAAAAGTAACTAAATAAACCAGCAGACAATGCATAACAGTTACAGAACAGAATATTGTTTTAACAACATAAATTATCATACACAGCAGCAAGCCATCTGTACATAAAAAACAACAACTCTTAATCTATAATTAGCTAACTGAGGCATAATAATATTGGAATATAATAGCAAAGACCCCAAAGGTAGGCTAAGGTAAATAATGTTAAGCTGTTATCAGTACCAATTTTATGAAACAGAATTGTTTTATTACAAAAATATATACCCACGAAAGTTTTTTTTTTTCACAGAAGACAAAAACTTTAATCTAAAACTAGCTAAGTAAAATGTTATATTATATTGTATCGGAGTTGCCAACATTGGTTGCTTGGCTGGAGTGAGATGCATGAATATATATAAAATAAATAAATAAAAAATACACACTGCCCTTAACCCACTGTTAGTCTATTGTGTAAATTTTTTTAAACACTTAAAATATTTTAAAGCCTATATTATTTTTTAACTCTACAGTTGTGCAGTAAAATTCACTTTTTATTCATGAAGATGAAAAAAATTGCCAAAAATGTGTCTCCTAGTAAAAAACAAAGACTTTTAAGATGAAAATGACATGAAATTACCATTGTAAACAGTAGATGGCAGCAGAGGATCACTCATCAGCTCAGTTGCCATTTCCACTCCCTAGTTTTTGTCATGTCTTGCTTTTGGATTTATTATAAAATGACTTATACCAAATTTTTGTACCTTTAGTGTACTAAAGTATGAATAAATAAGTTAATTATTCATGGTCTAATAATTAAATAATAATGCATTAAGTATTTTATATTTAACTGTAGGAGCTGCTAAATATATTCAGCCAGCAGACTTGTCGCTGCTGTAGGTTTGTTACTCTGAATTTACTCTGCATCACTTAACGCACAGCTCTATTTTGACATTGGCTTGTCAGATAGTTAATTCCGTCCATTGCTACAATATTTATCACTGTCAAAAGTGTCAGTCATAGCAATGACTCGTGGAACAGTTCAGCTGATTCACTCACGTAATTTTTTACACTCGCGTTTGTCATTCCTGAAACAGTAAACGTGGACAAACAAAACTTTTCTTCAAATTTTAAATGGATTATGTGAGAAACCGTTTTTCTTGTTATAATGGGAAGATCTGTGAGTGCGTAAAACTCTGTAAACGTGTGAAAACAATTAGTTCAGAGCGGATTCTAACTAACCTACAGTAAACTCTGATCTGATTCTGATTTGTCTATGAAGTGCGTCCTTATACGCATTGCTATGGAAATAATAAGATGATACATATAGATTATTAAATTATTTAATATTGCTTGTTTTTTTATAATTACCATTGTCCATTGACACAATATATCACAAAATAAATAAATAAATAAAAAATCAAGCTGACATTTCATGTACTCTTGGGGGCCCCCTGGTGGCCATGGGGGCCCTAAGCAGCCGCTTGGTTCGCTTATGCCTTGGGCTGGCTCTGCACACCTACTACATACATGACAACCATGTGCTCACTGAGAATTCACTATTACACCTTGACTAGTATGTTTTAGTGTTTATTATTATTATTAATGTTAGCATGGTCTTTTTACTGGTTGATAGACTTCTCCATCTAAAAGACCATCTAAACTGTGACTCTTCTAAGAAATCCCTACTCAGGTTGGTTTACTTGCTGTGCCCTGCCCTTTGCTGTGAATCAGTCAACCAGCTGTCATGAGAAATCTGGTCCTACAATTCCTACACAATCACGTTAAAATATATGTTGTTTAAACTATTTTATAATGACCATTATTGTCTGTTGTAGTTAGTTTACGTACTAGCATAGCACCCAGATATCAATTAGCCAGATAGCTTAGCTTATACACTGCAGATTTGCACTTTCCTATCTTAAATATAATGCAACAGGAGTGGATTGTAAATCCATCCCTTCAGTAGCTATTAGTATTATGTGGTTAAATTTCAAATAAATTCATATACACTAGAGTTGTGTGGGGTGGAGTTAAGTGTGATCTGCTGTGACAAAAGTCAACTTGCTCCTTCAGTCAGAATCGAGGGATTAAGGGTCTGTCCAAATAAATTTCCCTCCTCCATATGCCCAAAGCCGATCTCACTTCAAAAAAATGGTCGGGATTCCCCAGAGGGGAAGTGCTTAGGGAAGTTCATGAGTGTATGCTTACAAGTGAAGTGGAATGCAGTGGGGGCATGGGCGTAGCTTGTGGGGGGGCCAGGGGGGCCTGGCTCCCCCATAGCGATTTAAGAATTTTACTAAATATTTACTTATAAAGTTTTTTCTATGAAGTAAAAATGTATATTAATCTCTTTACATTTATTTATGGATCGTAATCTATTTATTTGGAATTAAGCAACAATTCTATCTCCATAGATTCTGGACAATCAGATAAAGGTGATCCACAGGACGCAGCCGGTTTAGCCGCACACTATTTTTATGCCGACCATTTACATCCAAATGTTATTTAATTTTCACAGAACACAACCTTTAAATAGATTTTAGAATATAAACTGTTAATCGTCTATTCAATAAGACTAAATAAAAAGTGTGCACCTTATTGTGCATTAACTTGAATCAAGCCCAACAAATGTCTGTTTTAAAAACTGGATGAGTAATTCACTCCTTGATTTGCTTAATAAAAGCCTCCTTTGAGATAGTTTTGACAGACATGTTTATTGTGCATTTTAAACGTGTTTTTAAATATTGAGAATTCATTAAAATTATATTCCAAGTATATTTTCACAGACTATCAGGAAGGATAGTGAAATTGAGGTCACATGAAAAAACCTTGAAATGTTTTACAAATACAGCATTATTCATGACAAAATGGAATTACTTTAAATGTGAAACATTGTGACATTGTGATGAAACAAAACTAATATGATTTAAATTCTTAACATTTTATGTAATATTATGCAATCTCTTAAAGGGTTAGTTCACCTAAAAATTTAAATTCTGTCATTAGTCACTCACCCTCATGTCGTTCTAAACCCGTAAGACCTCCATTCATCTTCGAAACACAAATTAAGATATTTTTGATTCATTCTTAGAGCTCTCTGACCCTCCATAGACAGCAATGTAATTACCACGATCAAGGTCCAGAAACGTACCAAGGAGATCGGTAAAATAATCCATGTGACATCAGG